CAAGTTACTTGGGATTCCTATTGGAGGGAATCACCGCGGGGAGGGTGTTTGGAAAGCAGTGATTGATATTGTGATTCGAATATTAGCCTCATGGAATAACAAGCATCTCTCAATTGGAGACCGTATTACCCTCTTAAATTCGGTTTTGTTTGTGTTGCCTGCTTACTACTTATATTTTTTCAAGGCTCTGAATGGTGTTATCGTTAAATTGGAATCCTTATCTAAGATTTTTTTATGGGGTGGGGGTTTGGGGAGGAGAAAAGTTAGTGGGGTTCATTAGGATTATGTATGTAGGGAGAAGGAAGAAGGAGGATCAGGAATCAAAAACTTAAGGGCGTTTAATCTTGTCCTGGTAGGAAAGTGGAAGTGGAGTTTCTATTAGAAAAAGATAAGTTATGGAATAAAGTACTGGTGTGCAAGTATGAGGGGAGATGGTCCGAAGGTGAAAAGATTGATAGGTTTAGTTCTTTATGATGGAGAGATCTCATGTCTTTGGATAAGGGTGAAAAATGTTATGGTAATGATTGGACGGTAAAATGAGAGAGATACTTTACTGTGGGTTGATCCATGGTTGGATGGTAAAATTTTAAAAGGTTTGTATCCTAACTTGTATGGTAAGGTTGGGAATAAGAACAGTAACGTGGGAGAGTTATCTAGGTCTCAAAATGGGGGGCTGATATTGTGTGGGAGTTGGGAGGTTAGTTTGGATGGGGAAGAGGCTAGGAAGGAGGAGGATCTGAAATTTAGGATTTAATTGTACTTTTTGAAAGACAATGTTAGGGGGAAGTGGCTTTGGTATAAGAATGGTTATTCGATTAAATATGTGTACTATGAGATTATGGATGAGGTTATCAATGTTAAAGTAGAAGATAGGAAGTTAGCGCTGCTTGGAGTAGCTTAGTTCCTCTCAAAGTTTCGACTTTGGTTTGGAGGATTTGGCTGAATAGGATTTTGTCGAGAGATAATCTGGTTAGTAGAGGCATCTTGGTAGAATCTCAAAATTCATGCCCACATGGTTGCGGTAGAGAGGAAAATGTTTTTCACATTTTCTTCAAATTCTCATTAGGTCAGATTGCACGGAGCGAGGTCCTAAAATGGCTCAATTTTATTTCTGTTTCACATAATTCGACCGTTCAGAATTTTTTTAAGTTTGCAGGGCTTAGTAGTGGAGGGCAAGTGCTTAAAGAGATATTTTTCGTAATATGGTGCGCGCATCTGTGTTATCTGAATGAGGGGAAATGAGAATATATTCTGAAATTCGGAAAACAAAAAAAGTGTTTGCCTTGAAGATATTCAGTTGCTGTCCTGGAGATGGTTAAAGGCAAACATAAAAGGTTTTAGCTATGGCATAAACCAGTGGATTTTGAACCCGGAGGAATATTTAGGCTGGAAAGGCGGATAACTTTTGCCTGGTTTTTGCTTCCTTGATTAGGCTCTGGAGTCATGGCACTTTTTCTAGGCTCTTGTGTAAATTTTGGTCCTGTTATCTTGCTAGGCTGGCTGCTCAAAATTTGGGTATGTTTAGTGGATTTTGGAGTGATCTCTATTGGTAGTAAGGAACAAGATCAATATTGAATCAACTTGGTTAGTGAGTTTGTATCTCAGTTCAGAAGTTACAATTTTTTGCATCTGTTTTCTATCGCATCTAAAATTTTTCTACTCTGGCTTACAATGATTTTGGAGGCGGTTTTTTTCTGATATGTGCAGCGTCGTGGATTCTGTTGGGGTGCTGGCAGGGGAGGGGCAGGGCTTGTGATTTTTTTTACAGTAGTTTTTTGTTTTGTTTTGACAGTAGTAGCTTTGGTTTTATTTTGTAGTTTATCATGGATTTCTACATGATTGGTGTAATTTTGTTTTAGTTGCAACACTCCTTGTGCTTACAGATGTTTTGGTAATAAAATTGCTTTGGCTTTACCAAAAAAATTTGATAAAGTTGTGTGTGTACATGCATGTGTGTTGTACAAGAATCATAAATTAATGTTGTAACATCATTTACTAAAAGTAAAGTAAAGTAAAATAGTTATCATTCATCTTAGTCATTTAGGCATTGACTATGTTGAAAGGCTGATATCCTTATCATTATGGGCTATTATAGGTTTTATGTAATGGAATTAGACGGGACTATTGACGAATAAGGTGTCTGATTTCATAAGAATTTGTTAGTATTTGATTCAAATGCATTTATTTCAGTCTTCCTTTTTGAGTTTGTAATTCCTTGTGTCGAAGCAACACGTTTCTCACAGAACTAGGGTATGTCGAATTAGTCTAATTGTTTATCTAGTTGTATAGTATGTCGAAGTGTCAAAGCAGGTTGCTTCATACAGGATTTGGACTTAAGTCTAAATAGTTATTTTGAGATTTTTGTATTTGTGGGCTTTGGCTTAGGGAGCAAACAAGCTTAATTATAAATAGAGCGAGTAACCCCTATTTTTGGAGAACTTGTATTCACAGAATTTTACAGTTGCAAAGTGAGTAAGATTTTTCCACAGTCTGTGGGCAGAGAGAAACTTTGCAGAAAATCATCATCATCTTCCCCAATTTCGTCAAACCCTACTTCTTTCTTTCATTGATATTGTGTATTGATACCAATCTTGTTCGTCAAGATTGATAGAAATTCTCCATAGATTTTGGTGGAGTTTCGGTTGAGCGATTTAAGGCAAGAATATCACAATGGCAATGAATCATCCGAATGGGCATTTTCCAGCAAGTCTTCTAATTCTGAAAGTTGATAACTATGAGAGTTGGAGCAAGCAAATGGAGGTTGTGTTCTGTTGTCAAGATCTTTGGGATCTTATGAAAAAAATATTAGAACCGCTTGAAGAAGATGCATTAGAAGCATAAGAAACAACACACAAAGAGTTGAAGAACAATTATAAAGCTCTCTTTATAATTCATCAATGTCTGAGTCCAGATAATTTCGAAAAGGTGAGTGATGTAGAATCTGTGAAAGAAGCTTGAGAGATTCTTGAAAAGTCCTTTAGAGGTGTAGAAAAGGTGAAATAAGTGAGGTTACAAACTCACAAAAGAACGTATGAATTACTTCAGATAGAAGAAAGTGAAAATATAATTGATTTCTTCACTAGGGTTATGAAACTAGTGAATCAAATCAAGGTATATGGAGAAGCGTTGACATCGAGATCAGTTATTGCAAAGATCTTGAGATCTTTGGCTCCAAAGTTCGACCACGTGATGTTTGACATAGAAGAGTCGAAATATTTTTCGACATTGAAAAAGGATGAGCTTCAAGAGACACTTGAATCTCATGAATAAAGAATTACTGAGAGAGTTGCAGGCAAGTCGAAGAGTGATTTGACTTTGCAAGCGCAATCAGCAAAATAAAAGAAAAGCAAAGGAAAATGGTTTGACAACAGAGGTAGAGAAAGCTACAACAATTCAACTGGTAAAGGAAACCAGCGAGAATGAATTGTGTCGAATCAAAGAAGACCTCCATACCAAGACAATCAAAAGTCACATTCAATATTTCAATTGTCAAAAGCATGGTCACCGCTCTAGTGATTGTCTAGAAAAATAAAAGAATCAAGAAAGTAATGTAAAGTTTGCAAGACATGAAGAAGAAGAAGAGATGATGTTGATGGTCACAACAAGAGATGAGGAAAGATTTAAGGACCCTAATGGTATTTGGGCTGAGGATGCTCATCATCCATGCCTGGAAGGAAAAATTGGTTTGTCAACATAAAATCCACAATGAAGAACATGGTGAAATTTGCAAATGACAATACTCTAGCAGCTGAAGGTATTGGTGATGTTCTGATTTTGAGGAAAGATCGCAAGAGTTTAGTAATTTTCAATGTGTTGTACATACCATGCATGAAGAAAAATTTACTTAGTATAGAGTAGTTAGTCGAAAAGAATTACAAAGTGTCAATCGAAGACAAGATGATGAGAATTGTCGACTCAAGAGGAAGGTTAATCTTGAAGACTCCAATGTCTTAGAATATAACCTTCAAGATCGAACTTAATATGATGGAGCACAAGTGTCTTGTGACTGCAGTTAGTAGGGATGAGTGGATATGACACTATCAACTAGGTCATCTCAACTTCAAATACGACATACATTTAAGTGAAAGCTTGATAGTGTGACTGGTGTCTTAATGCCCACGCCCGACATCAAGAGAGAAGGGGAGAGGGGGGAGAGGGAGATGTTTGTGTTATTAATTGCAAATATTCTAACATCCAAGTTAATAACTATTAGAGATGATATTATTTAGGGTTGAAAGTGTGTACCCTGAATGTTGAAGTGATGAGCTTATTTAGATTTGAAATGGTAATATTAAAGTTAAATAGCCAAAATATTTCGTTAGACCTTTTTTCTTTTTTTACCATTGTTAGACCTTATATTATGCCTTGTTTTCAAAACAATTTGAAATATCTCTTTTTAAAGTTTCACATTATTGATTCTGATTTTTGTTGCCATTGTAAAATTAATTACAACACTCATAAATTTTACAACTTTCACTCTATTTAATTATAAGATCTATATAAAATTTCTTGATTTATATATTATTCATGATTTATAACAAGTCTTTTACTTTTTTGGAATATATATTTATATTTTTTATTCTAATTTAAAATCATAACTTTTTTTTAATCTTTACAGCATTTAAAAATGCTTTGGCTACATTAAAACTATTTAAAAATTTAGCCCCTATAGGCTATCAAGTCTGACTCTGCCTCTAAACAAGTTGGTCTTAAAATCAAGAAAAATATTTGTTTATTTTAATTAATTTCAATGAAAAGACCAAGACATAAGTATCAAGTATGAACAATAAACAAGGTATCCGTGACATAAAGAGAATTCAACCTTAAAATCATCATGTAACCTCAAAGCCCATGGTTACAACAACAAGCAACAAACAACTTACACGTGACAATCATAAATAATAATTACATTAAATAGCAGCCAAGTAAAAACATTGCTCATTCATTCCTCCATCATTCCACAAAAGCAACACATTCTTGGTTCCTAGTCACAACAAAAAATGAAGAAAACCTCAATTTATGTCACCTTTTTGCCTCTTCATATTCTTCTCCTCTCTTGTTCCCTTCTTCATCTCACTCAATCCTTCACTCTTTTAAAGGACGATGATTTGGTAGACCAGATATGCAAAAAGACACCCTTTTATGACCTATGCACCTCCATCTTACATGCCAACCCTCTAGCTCCCACATCTGATCCTAAAGGCATGGCCCTCATTATGGTCAATGACCTCTTGGCAAATGCTAGTGACACTTTGAGTTACATTGAAGAGCTTATCAAACATACATCGGACAAAGATTTGGAGCAACAGTTGGCTTTTTGTGCTGAGTCATATATTCCGGTTGTGAAGTATATTATTCCACAAGCAGCTGAAGCTATAAGCCAAGGTAGATTTGGGTTTGCAAGTTACTCTATAGTTGATGCTGAGAAGGAAATTGATGCTTGTAATAAGAAATTCTCAGGGTCTAGTTCAGTGTTAGGTGATAGGAATAGTATTATGCAGAAGCTGGTGGATGTTGCTGCAGCCATTGTAAAATTATTGTTAAATGCTTGATTTTGTATATTCTTATTCAATAAATAAATACTCGATTTTTGATTATGGATTATTGAGTTGAGTTTATACAAATTATTATTGCTATATTATGAGCTTGCTTCAACTTTAAAACCAACTATGGTTTGGAAAGTGTTTTAGGTGTCTATTTGGTATGTGAAAGAGATTGTTTTGTCAACTTCAATTAATTTCATGTCGGGTCAGAGAGAGTGAGGGAAGAGTATCACATGTGAAATCACATGCCTATAGTTACGCGTCGACACGTATCAATACAGTACAAAATGGCATGATTGGTACCCCAGCTGAAAAAACTGGCTAGAGGCATACCGACGTTGGAATCAGAATTTGGGATGGAGATTTGTAATAACATGCCATCAGTTAAAGGAATCAAACCAACTTAATATTGTGTACTTATTAGAGGAAGAGAACTATAGTGTGAATGGCACTCATGGTAAGCTAGTGTATGATGGGAATGCTTAAGCATAGTAGTAGGAACTAATGTAAACTACTCTAAATACTTTATTAGTTCATTTGTAAACACTTGATCAATTGATGTAAAATGTAAAGAAGCTGAATTTCCATTGAATCAATTATGGTATTTTAGTCTATCTATTAAACCATGATTCACCTATCATTTATGTTTAGACATCATGTCTAATTAGGAGATATGAGATGGTATATTGAGAAAATCTTAAGTTTTATATTGGTTAGATTTTTTTTAATAGACAAAGATTTCATTAATAAGGAGTATAAGAGATACTCTGTCGGAAACAACACAACAAAGAACCCTTACATCTTAAAACAAAGGAGAGGAAGAATGTTTCAAACATGGAAATTACAATGATCAAAAGATTTAATGGCTAGTCCCATCCAAACCCAAGACCGGTGAATAATCATCGACATACACTCATCAAAAGTAAAAACGGCTCCTTTGAAGATAATTGTGTTACGCAACAGCCAAATACATCAAACAGTTGCAAATCAAATGCCGACAACAGTTACTCTATGAAACTCATTCTTCACCTTCTTACGATGGAATAAGTAATTCACAAACTCTCCCAAATTTAGCTCCAAACCATGGCCAATCCATTCATGGATCTTACTCCAAACTCTAAAGGTGACCTCACACAAACTGAACAGATACGAAATGGTTTCATCATCTCTAAAATAGAAAATGCAACACGTATCTCTACTATCCATCAAAATCCCCCTTCTAAATAGTTGATTTTTTATGGTAATCCTATTGATAATGAATCTCCACCTAAATATTAAGATATTCGACAAAACCTTGATTTTCCACATAATATTTAGCGCTTCCAGAACCGCACCAGAAAAAATAGATTCAACACAACGAGAAGAGAAAACAGTGAAACAATATTTGACTGAAAATATTCCATTTACCTCTTCCAACCATTCGAAGTTGTCACATAATATGTTGTCCAAAACAAGATTCGACAACTATCCTTGAAATTCCTGCCACGGGTTTTCTTCAAAAGCATCAAGGTTCTCCACAATTTCTTGGAATTTCCAAGTCTAATCGTTTCCTGTCCAGCAGACTTCCTCCACAACACTACAATCTTTGTTGGCAGTGGCAACATATAACTTCGGCAACACATTCTTCAAGGTTTGCCTACCCAACCATTGCGAGAGCCAAAAAGCAGTCCTTCTACCATCATTAACTCTAAAGAAAACAGAATCAACAAAAGCAAACTCGTCCATAACAGACTCAGGTTTGGACAGAATCAAGTCCCTCCACCAAATTTAATCATCCTTGTTTAGCACACTCTTGTCTCCAATCATAACTTTAATATCATGATTCAAGTATCTTATCCTAAGTAAATTACTCTAAACTACTTTTTACTTTGCAAAATATTCCACTTCCACTTATGAATAAGAGCCAAATTTAGGACTTCTATGTCTTTGATACCAAGGCCTCATTGACTACGAGAGTTGCACACAACTTTTTACCTCACCCAATGAATGGTCCTTTTATTCTCGCAGCCCCTCCATAAAAAGTTACTTTGAATACGCCTATTCTCAAGTAATACTTTAGCGGGCGCTTTGTAGAAAGATAGCAAATAAATAGGAATAACATTCAACACTGAATTGATTAACACAACACGACCAACAATAGAAAGATGTCTCCCTCTCCACATAGCTAACCTATTTCTTGTGTTCTTGATCAAATCGCTCCACATTGATAATCTCCTACGGCTATCCCCGACCTTGGCACCAAGAAATTTGAACGACAGAATATCAATGCCACTTTTTATACACCACACCAGTTCTGTTATGGCTAGAGTCATTGCTAACTTAACTTTCCATTATCTTTTTACCACCTAAACTACTATGTGACAGTCTAAAGTGAAGTTCTTCTTGTTAATACATATGAATTTGTTTATTTTTATATGCAAAATGTTAAGCAAGATGTCTCAAAAGTATGTTGAGATGTCTTGACTTAGTTATCCACTTGTGCGCTTTTCAAAAAGATTTATTTTGACTATGTGTGATTCCGAATTCTGTGTTTCTATTATTTGTTGATTTATTTCAAAAAGATTTATTTTGTCCAAGATTCTACTGATTTGTTTTGGAAAGATTTTTTTTAGAAAAATTTAATTATGACAATCTTCTTGAAAAGATTTAATAAAATTTTCTTTGAATAAAAGATTTAGTTTGCTAAATATTGGATTTGGTCTGAATTTGTTTGAACCCTAATGTGTTTTTTGGTTGGATTGTCATCTCTATATAAAGACATTGTTTACCTTGTAGCTGAAAAATTCAAGAGAGTATTAACGCATCTTGAGAATTTACATATTTATTGTTTGTAGTGTATTTCATGTGTTAAACTTTACCCTTATTATGCTTTTATACTTAGGAAAAAATAGAGTTTTGGTCTGTACTCGTGAAAATTGTCGCGTCCTAAATATTGTTTCTTACAGACACTCGATAGAGTATTTAGGTGCAAGTAAGGGCAATCTCAAATTCAGTGGAGCTTTAGTTGAAAAATTTACTGGTAGTATTAGGAAGATGACACTGAACTGTGAGAGTTCAAATGAGACTGTCATGTACTATTGACTAATTATAATTAGAGATTTTCCTTTCCACTTGGATATGACTATCTAGACGTAGGTGACAATTTCACCGAATTGTGTTATCAATTTCTTGTGTCTTATATTTATTATATGTTTAATTGTTCATCAAGTAATTCATATCATCTTGTTTCGTACATTATTTCAACATTATGTGTGACAAGTTGTTACTGGTCAAATATAATTTCAATTGGCATTAGAGCGGGCACCCTGTTCTGGTTGAGATTATTTTAGGATATCTAATCTTTTTTAATTAAGATGGGAAATACCAAGTGTGATACGGTGGGAGAACGGACTTGGGTGTTTTGCGTTTGATCGCAAATGTTGCGGTTAACAAGAGTCGACACCGAGTTTTCTTTTATCCAAAAGGAAAGGTGAAAAAGCACATGAAAGACCTTTGAGATTGTTTATTGATTTCAGGGGGTAGATTATGAAAAGGGAAGGTATTAGCACCCATTTCATCCATGGTTTTCCATGGGCTCTTAGTTACTTTCTAGATCACTTGTTTTTGTTTGAAAATATGCTTTGTGTGGTTTTTGAAAGTATTTTGAAACGGCGCCATCGTTTAGGCAAAACTTTGTAATGATTCTTGTTCGTAAGAATGTATACAAAGATGTTGATCTTTTGAAAATGTTTTCAAGTTTGTAAGATGTTTTGAAAGTATAGGTGCTTGTTTTGAAAAATAACAAGGATGTTTTGTTTTGAGAGTGAGCAAGTAACTAGGAGAATTCTGCCTACTCAAAAGTCTTTCATGTTCATTTACTTTTTCCTTTGACATTGTTACCTTACCATTGATTTGGTAAGTAACCCTAGCTTTGGATGTAAACGGGACGGGCGCGGGTTATCGTGTAACCATGATTAGAAATGTTTCAAGGTATCTTAGAATTCTCTTTAGGGACTAAGATCATTTGAAAGGCAACATAGATAGCGTCATCGAGGGACTATGATCTTATATTTTGCATGTTTTTGCTAAGATACCTCACATGCGTAATATGGCCATTTTGTAAGGCAACCAAGTAGATTTTACCCTAGGGGTGCTTGTATGCAAGTGTATTGTTTTTCATGCTTGGTTTTGTCTTTGATTAGAGTTTTCTATTGATTGGTTTTAGTCTTTCCATACAAAATCCTAATTACTAACATTTGTATATAAAGCGATAAATTGTGGAATTTAAAATCACTACGCTATTACAATGCTTGTGGGAGGGGGGTATACAAATTACAAATGGGGATTGCAAGAATAATAAAGCCTAACTATCTATTACATCCATATTGAATTTGTACAAGAATTGAAATAAATAATGTACAAAATGAATAAATATACAAGAATGTAAATGTAAAGTAAATGGATATTTTGTTTATATTTTTTTAGAAGGAAAGGGTTTTGTTTTAACCTAATTAACTAAATAAAATAATTAATTAAAATAATAAAAAGTAAAACCTAAATTTACTAGGAAAAGAATTTAAATAAAACTCTAATCTAAATATTAATTAAAAAAAGAAATTAAGTTCATGAGAAGAATATTTTTTTTGTATTTTTGTCTTAAAAATAATTTATAGTATTATAAAATATTTTTGGTCTTTTTGGTTTTAAAATAAAATATTTTAAAAAAATAACTAAAATCCTAGTTTTTTAATTAAATTTACAAACCAATTAGTAAAAGAAATAAAATATGATTAAATAAAATAATTTTTTGGTGTAAAAAATAAATAAACTATATCAAAATATAAATCTAATGTTTTTATATTTTTTGTGATTTTTTAGTATTAGATAAAATATTCAAGAAAACAAATAAATAAAAATAAGAAAAAGAAAATAAAAATGTGCCAGAGGCTGTGTAAGTGAAACAAGGGGTGAGAAATGAAAAAAACATAAAGCCCAAGAAAAGAGGCCCAGCGCTGCCAAAAAAGAAAAGT